CCCCCCCCCCCCCCGCCCCCTCACTAGATCTGGCTCAGAAATTACAGTACGCTCTTCCTTTTTTGAGGGAAAATGAAATAGCAACAAATTGGTATGGGGAAGGATGAAAAATAACAAAAATAAAATGCTGATATTGTTAAACGTGTTTGATTTTGATTTCTCAATCTTCCAACCCATCAGGTTTTACACCCCTGTGGCACTGCCACCAGGAGTTATAGGCTCCCTCTAGGCTACTACCACTTACCACCCTTCCTGCCTCCCCTGATTTGCAATTATTACTAGCAAATAGCAACTGCGTTCTTCGAAATATGATCAAATAAGAATTGTCAAATAGGGGGTGTGCATCTGACATGCAAATTGAACCAATCAACGTCAAGTCAGTGGTCATGTCAAGTTTATCTGTCGATGCCCGCAGTCCTATTAGTCAGCCAAATATCTTCACATATGCAGGTAGGTACTTCCAGTGACTGTCACTTCCAGTGGGGCCTGGTACTTCAAATATGATAATAATCATACATGTTAATCATACATGAGGTATGCAGCGGTAAAATCAAAAAAAATGGCGGAATCAGATGAGGCCGAAGTGGATTATTGCTCTGTTTGAACGTCAGAAAAGAGGTAAAAATAGTCTTTTAGGGGAAAAGAGAAATATTTTATCAATCATGTAAAGTGCATTTTGTTGCATTTCAGGCGAACGAAAATGAGCTTTATAGGGCTGCTTACAAACTCATGTGCATGTTGTATCACCCGGACAAACATCAAGAAAGGTTAAAAAAGTTTAGGCCTTGTGCGCACTAAGCAAAATTACAAACAAGTACAAACGGAATTCAGAATATATCATATTTTAAAAAGCATTTCTTCTTGAGCAAAGACAGACAATAAATTAATATAACAATTAAGGATTTATTCTTTAACTACATGTACAAATGCCTCTTGGCTTTACTGACATTAATGTTCTTGAACATACATCGTTTATTTCTCATGGCCATACCAGACAAAGTAAGCTTAATTCTTTCAATCTTAAAAATCCTCTTTGCAGAACCAGTACTTTTAAGGCTGCTTATTTTAATCTTATTTCTAATTTATGGAATTTTGTCAGTTCTCTTAAGTCACCTAGTAGTTTCTCTAGTCCACAATCTTTTAAACAGTTTGTTTATAAAACCATGTTCACCACTGTGGTTAATTCAGTGAGATGGAAGGATCTTGCACATGGACTTTAGTAATAACCTGTCCCTGTCTCAGGTCAAAGTGACTGTGCCTATCACCCCAGGGGGTACTCTAGATTTCAAGTGACAGGGACGATTGAATATGGGCAAAAATCAAAACCCCCAAAAAATCCCTGGGCCAAAATCTAACCCCAAAAAATCCCATG